GAATGGTACACATTGTTTCTTTAAGGTGACATCCTTCAGATACTTGGTGGCTTTTCGTATATGCATACCCTTGATGGCCTGGGCAGTTTCACGTGTGTTCTAAATATGAACAATCAGGTGCTAGTTAGCCATTCCAAAATATTATAATTTGAAAAGTGAACATTAAATTTTCAAAATTTCAAAATGTTAAACACCCCTCCCTCCTTTTCTTTTTTAAAGAGAAAGGTTTCACCACTTCACCCAGGTTATTCTCCACCTCTAGGCCTAAAGGCAACTCCCATCCAGGGGTTGCCAAATCCCAAAGAGCTGAGATTACAGACATGAGCCCCTGGGCCCTTTCTATGCTTAAGATATTAAGTAATAAATTCTAAGAGTCAGTGAGACTGCATTTGAAATGAAGAAAAATTAACCCCACACCTGTAATTATTCACCCAAATGTTGAAATTCTATCATCTTCTAATTACATTTGGTGTCCCATCTTAATCTGCACATTGGGTTCTCAAAACAACTCTGGCAGTTTGACTCAATTCCACAAATTTTAAGCTAAAGAGCTCTTCATATAGGATATCTGAATAAAAAGGTGGCTGCTCAGGGTTTATTAATTTTTCATGGTAAATCCAAAGGTGTCCTAAGAAAGGCATCACTGCAGCTACCTTTGCAAAAAGATATAAGAAACACCAGAACACACAGAACAACCCATTTAGATCATAACCAAATGATTCACACACCTTAAAGTGAACACGAAGATTTGAGCCTCTTGACTTGCATGCTAGAAAATAGAAGAGATTTGGTTAATTCTGGTTATCTTCTTTACGCCTACTCCTAAACAGGCAATACATATTTCTGTCTCCTGTTCACTTACACTTTGTGGGGTTTTCTGGGTCAAGTGAATAGCGAACCATTTTCACAGATCACCTGGAATGGAAGAAGCAGAGAATGATGTCCACCATACGTATTTCTAGTAACCGTTGCGGTGTAACTTCCTTAATGCTACCCACAGCTGCTCAGAGAGTAGTTGTTTTCATGGTTAATCCAAAGGTGTCCTAAGAAATGCCATCATTGCAGCCATCCCTTTCCCCACCCAGTGCTTGCTTTCCCATCGCATCTGCGATCTGTAACAGCACTGCCTGCACAAAACTGGCGCCACGGACCTCTTCAACCTTCTCTTCTCTTTGGGAATTAACAGCCTGTCTCAGTGCAACGCCGGACCTTCCAGGCGTTAAGACGTGACGCATCCGCATGGCAAACTCAACTACAAACCTCTCTACGTGCTTTCTCTCGAAAAACCCTTTACTCACACAGCTTGACAAACAATGCAGCCTTCCCACGGAACACAGACTTCAGGGCTATTACCCAGTTTAGAATTACCGAATAAGCCTCCATCCGTCTTACCTACTCCCCACCCCCACCCCGCGCCCAAACTTTTCCCGTTGCGGCCGCTAAGTCGGCCATCACTCACCGCAGGACACTGGACCTCCGGAGTCTGAGCCAACACGACCACAGACCGCCCGAGCCCCGCCAGCAGAAAAGTCCTGCTGTCCCCACTCCCGCCCATCCTGTCGCTCTGAGGGCTGTACAGGCCTGCCGGCCGCAACATGAAGTCGGGCGTCCGCCACATCCCCTCTCAAACACAAGACAACATTGCCTCTAGCGAGGAATGAGTAGCCCTGGGAGATGTCTTCGCCGGGACCTTGAGACCGGTGCCCCTCGGGCCAGGATGGCGGCGATGACCGGACGATTGAGTACTCGGAGCAACCACGAAAACACACTCACCTCAGGCCGCTTGGGGAAGAGGAAGAGCGATGGCTTCTGGGAGAATTCATGAGAACTCGGTTCTCGCGACATTTCCAGCCCATAAAACGAGATCTGAGGAAGGGAAAGGGGCGGGAGGAACAAGGGAGTGTGGAATATGTTTTAAGAACTGCTGAAAACGGATTGGCGCTTAGAGACTGTCTCAAAATTCTCTTTTTTGTACCTAAATACAAAGTTACGAGTTTTAAATATCAATTAAAAATTTGAAGCATTCTTCAACACCTTCTCTTCAAACAAGAAAAACGAAAAAAATTAAAAGCAGGCTTGCAATTCTAGAAGAGGTCCATATATTATTTGATATGAAGGAGACTTTTTAAAATTGGTACTTATTTTATTGTATTTGTTGTTTCTGAGGC